TGACGTCATTGGCAGCAGCTGCCGGAGGACAGTCCGCTCTGCCAATCATAAGCGTCGACGTCCGATTATCCGTGGGAGTGCCCGCACAGCTCACCTGAAACGGCTTCGCCTGGAGGTCGAGAGACGGACAGCTAAGGCAAAGGCGACAGCATTGGCGAAGCTGACCCATTTCTCTTCTCAGTTTCTTCCCACGTCTGCAGACGACGCGCCTGCTGCCGAATCAAACGCCGTCGTTTCTCCAAATCCCTCGCCCAGTCCGCATCATTCGCCCATCATTACTGCTGCCTGCACACCAAGCTCGACTGGCGACCAAGCCGGAAAGGGTGAAAGCGAAGCATCCGAGTGTAACTTACTCCCTGCCAGTGAGGATTTTCACGACTCAGGGCTGGGCTCTTCAGAGTGCTCCCTACAGTCTACTTTCTCTACCTCCACCGAAAACTCCACTGAATCCATAATGCCTGCCCTTTCCAAACAGTCTTCGCCCCTAAAGGGTGATCAGGAAAGTGAGATTAGCGAACAGGCTTGCTCCTCCCCACCGTCTCTTCCGAACGCAACATTCACGCTAGAGACGACGCCAAGACGGCGAAACTCCCACCCGCTCATTTCTCCGCATCTTCACACCGACCCAGTATTCAGTGTTTCCAATGCCCTGCTCTCGTGTTCACGGGAAAACTCCTCTAGCGTAGTTTCTGCTGCATCCGTTGGTGGTGTGCCCAAGAAACCAACTGCCTATGTCTTTCCGGATGACTCCAGGAGGGCAAAAATGACCCGTGGAGGTTTTCCGAATCCTAAATCCGCTCAGACCTGTTGCACTCCTCGGTAAGTTGCCAAGATAGGATAGTGGAAGAGTTTTTTGTTATCTCAATTTACATACGTACCGAAGACGATAAAAACGGCCCCTCATGTTATGGTAGGAGACTCTGCCTTTCATACCTTTGCTGTTGTTTGTTATCTCTGGTGTCTCGGCACCCGGCCTAGAAGTCACTGTTCTCCGATTGTCTTAGCGTTCGAGTTAGGTCCCTTCAACTGACCATCTGCAACCTACTCATAAGAATGTCTGCGATTTCTCATCTTGTTGTACATTCCGCTGCCAGTGTTCTGTAATGACAAGCACTGTCTTCCACTTATTCCCGGGCAGTTTTGCACACGTTTCCATGGCAAAGGATTCAGGTCCAGGACACAGAAGAGCCGGGGCTTGAGTACAGCCAACGCTTTTACGCTAAACGCCTGCTTAAACTTCCCCCTAGTAAGTTAGGTGATGCTGCTCTCAATCCGGTGCCATTACCCATTTGGAGGCGTGGAAGAGAAGGCTAACTTTAAATCTGGCTTGACACATTTTGTCAAGGCATGGAAATGCTTCTTGGGCCTTCTGTAGTCACTGTAAGTGGGAAAGAGAGTGGATCGAGCTGTCCAGGTTCGCTGCCGCTTGAAGGGGTGTGATTCGTGAAATCACCGAGAAAGGATTACAATCGTACCATGTTCGAGTACTTAATCCTCCCCTGAAACGGATTGAAGAAATTCAGCATACCGGTGCGTCTCATAATTATAAATTCTAAAAATAGTACAGTGGAAACCACATAAATGCTTGATGTCAAAAGGTACGCTAATTTCCTAGAAAACTTGTTCAGGCTTCACAGGAAAAGACGTTACTGCGACATGGTCTTCGTAAGTCAATCAAGTCCTATTTTGCTAGTTAAGTCCACACGAAAAACTACTCCATGTTTAGGACATCTTTTTATTGTGACCCCCTATTTGCACTTTTTTTTACTAAGGTTGGAATCAATCCGTTTCTAATTTCCCTGGGGACTGTTCTCGCTATCTTTTTCCCCCAAGATTATGCAAAGTTATAAACATGAAAGGAGGGCGACTGGGACAACCATTTTTGCCTTGCATGCTATCAGCAGCCAATTCGGTATTTAAAGTGTAGTCCAGTGGAGTGCACGCCCCCAGCACCAGTCGGCCCCTTTTATAAAGCAAGCCGTCTCGCCTGACGACACACAAACAGCAGAGTCCATGTTAGGTAGCTTTTGGACTATCGCTGAATGTGGGAGAAGGTGAGGTTTTGTTTAGACCGTGCTGTCTTGACCCTTCTCTCCTCTTTTAAGGTATGCCGATGGGAAAGAGACTCATACCTTATTTCAGCTTCTTAAATATGACGTCCTGTCACGAGGTCAGCCACACTTTGTGGTCTTATTTTTCTTTGCACTAGTACAAAAATTATCTCTAAAATGCCACAACTTTGGTCTGACTTCTCCCCGTTCCCCTTTCCTTCTAGGTGCATCGCGGAACCTCTGAAACCGTTCCTCCGCTTCCTCAGTGCTTCCGAGGCGCATATGCTACTCACTGAACTACACCGTATGTTTCTTTCCCCTTTGATCCTTCTCCCTTGGGACATTTTAAATCAACAACC